CTAGAGAAGTTTCCGTCATTACTTCTAAAACCTATACTCTGGACGTCCAGAAGATAATTTCTTGTCAGCTGTCCATTTATCTGAAATAGATCAAACTAACCAAACTCGACTATTTCAGGCAATACTTCATTTTCGTCAAAAATCACTTTTCATTTAATTTTCTTCAGAATTTAGCAAGAAAATTATTAGGAACAATTCTATTAAAATGATTAGTTAGTTTTGAATAGGCTACTGAACAGGTACCAAGAGACTGGATAGTAAAAGGGGGAGGTAAGTGAGGAGGAGAGGAAGGGGGAGAAGGAAGGTTTGAGTTTGCCGCCTGTATCCCCCTGTTGTCTATGGGAACGCTGCTTCACTACTCTAAACTATGCCGCCAGTGAATACGGAGGCTAGGACCCATGCGCCGCCAGAACGGATCTGCTCCGGCCAGCATGAGTTAGGATTGGTCGGGACCCGACTCTCCAACCCTCGTCTTGGTTAGACAGAAGAAAGGGAACTAATTGATGCATTTAGGCATCAGACGGGAACATATAGTTGTATTCAAGGTCGAAATAGACTTAAACAACCCAAATGCAAACTAAAAATCAAGGATATAATTAAGCCTTAGAGATTTTATAATCTTGAAACCCACGACACAGGGTCGAAATTGATTCAAATTGTGTGAGTTAGCGAGAAAGAGATTATATTACAGTCTTTTCAATTTCGATATTTGAAGTATTATAATTTTTAACGTCAACTTTTAAATATTGTCTTTTACAGATCACAAATTGTGTACCAAAAAAGGTTGCAGGTCGGAAATATAAGCTTCAAGAGTGTGTTCTGCATACTTTTAATGTATTTCTTCCTCTAAATTTAAGCCTGTTGAAAAGTCTGAACTATTCTGAAGAAAAAAATATTTGTACCATTTATATGAAATTTAAAGTTACCTGCAAGATTTATTTCTGGGGAAGAAAGTTACAAACTGTGCTTATGTTCCAAACCTTACACTGAGTGTCAGGTTTGGGCACAAATATTATGATCAACGTTTTAGTAACTCTTCTTGTGCCGAGAACAAATATCAATTAAAGAAACTAAACATTTTATTACGCACGACGAGAACAACAAATAACACTAATTACTTCTTTTCTAAAACTTGAACTGCGAATGATCGTTCATTTTCAATTAAACCCCATACCATTTTCGAAACAATTCAAGGTTTTCCATCTTCGTAAATTTCACGAATTCGAAACTTGGACGCGTTCTGGAACAAAAACCAACTTTTGAAACGATCCATAATTTGAAAATAATTCAACAATTCAGAATAAAACGAACTTTCATATTTTACAGAATAACATTAATCAATGAAAATATGTTTATCTTCTAAAGTATTATAAAATTTGTTTGCACATAATACTTTTAAATACGGGAAGTACAGATGATTTCAAGTTTCCTCTATTTTCAATAAAAATTTCCCCGCATTTTTCTGTTCAATTTAATTGTAAGAACAACATAATATTGCTATTAGAAGTTTTTATTGCTTTTAGTCGTTATATTTTGAAATATTTATTTTCATTTTCATTGTTTCATTATCTAAATTCTACTGTATGCGAATTATGTAAATGCTTGAAAATATCATTGATTCCAATCTGTTAGATGTCTCAAAAACGCGACATGTTCCAAAACGTGTTTTGCGCCCAAAATTTGCATTTGCTTCAAAAAATATGTGACATGTTCTAAAACGAAATCAATAATCATCACAAATAGTAATTTATTTGATTATATAGGTTTAATTCTTAAATTTTTGTTATTAAAACGTAGCGTAGCTATAGCCTATTCTGAACTTTTCTTAATTAAAGTATGCAGACGTTTAGCGGCCAAATAGATTTAACTATGTTTTGTAAGATGTTCTTTCATCCTTTTTAATTCTTAACAAAGGAAATGAGTTTTTTGCCACAAACTCAAATTTTCTCATTCCTTTTATCTTTGCATCCCGAAGACTTTTGATACTTTAAACTATAAATTTTGTTAGATTAATAGTATAATATATAGGTTTATGCCATCATGTTGCCAAGATATAGAGATTATAAAATGTGACTTTGTGACAAAACTCAGTTTCTTTAGGAAATAAATTTTAAGAAAAATGTTATTAAGCGTTATTTATTGTTTGGATGTTGCTGAATACCTGTCACCAGTTTCACCAACTTTTTGTAAGAAAAGTAGTTTGAACAAAAAAGTGTTCAAATTGAAAAGAATTAGATGTATTTCAGGAAATCACCGCCTCGACAAAATCATTCAACCATCAAAACTCAAAAATATAATTTTATAAAAAGTTTAAAATTTTTATCGTCAAAAAAAACAGATGTTTGTGGTTGTTTGTATTCTGGACACATGCAGAACTAATCCTACTCAATCTAAAATCATTAAAAAATTCCGCCAAATTATATTCTCTATTGTTTGTGCTGATGTGAAGTTGATAAACCGAGAAGTAGACCTCTAACACAAAAATCTGGACAGTGAATGGAGAACTGGGAGATAAAGTGAACTTAGGACAACAGAGGGAAAATTAGGGGCTGTTGAGAACGTAGTACAACAGCTAGACAAAAACTTAGGACAACAGAGGGAGAATTAGGGGCTGTAGAGAACGTAGTGCAACAGCTAGAGGAAAAACTTAGGACAACAGAGGGAGAATTAGGGGCTGTAGAGAACGTAGTACAACAGCTAGACAAAAACTTAGGACAACAGAGGGAAAATTAGGGGCTGTAGAGAACGTAGTACAACAGCTAGAGGAAAAACTTAGGACAACAGAGGGAGAATAAAGGGATAGAGAACTTAGAGTACAACAGAGGGAGAAATTAGGACAATACGGGGAGAATTGGGATCTATGGAAAATGTAGGACAATAGTGGCAGAATAGGGATCTATGGAAAATGTAGGACAATAGTGCATGGTAGAAAAGGGATCTTAGGAAAACGTTGGACAATAGTGGTAGAATAGGGATCTATGAGAGGACTTTGAACAAATTAAGAAACTACTCGATTCATAGACGCTTTTTAGAACAAAGTCAGCAATTGATAAGACAAGGTAGAACATTTTTTAGAATCAAATCAGAATGTCAAAAGATCGAAGGACTAAATATCGGAGCCATGGTTTAAAATCCCCGAGACTAAAAGGTTTCGGAGCTTCCCTGGGAATTCTCCTTTTTACACTGCAAAGCTTTTACCCTAATGAAACCGATGATAAAGTGAAATTTTGTGGTAACAATACATGTGGAGGTGGGAGTGATGAGGGAATATTACCCTCCCTCTCCCTCTCTTGCAACCTCCTGCACTTAACATACACAGTACACACGTTCTAGTCTAAACACTTGAAAAGGAAGGTTTAATTAGCCGGGGAGTCATCATGACTTTCAATATCGTAGTATTTATCTGATTCCAACGCCCTGACACGTGACTAGAGACATGTGACTTATAGTCTATTTGAATTGAAATAGTTAGATAAAAAGATGAATATTGTTTTTAGGTTTTGGGCTAAAAATCGTATTTTGCATAAACGGAATTTTAAAACCGAGAGATTGGATTTTTGTTATGCGCTAGTTATGTAGATGTGTTGAAATTGAAAGTTTATAGTCAATTCAAACACAAATATGTAAAAATTACCAATCTAAATCCTAATTAATAATACACTTTTTAGTATTACTGACATTTTGTGAGTTTTTTTTACCTTGTTAGATCCTTTATATCGGTATATTATTTTTATTAACGCGGTTTGTAAGGTTTATTTGTTAGGTTGTAAATATATATATTTAATATATATATATATATATATATATAAATCTAATAATATATCTATATAATAAAACCATACATTGGTTTATATGGTTTCCTATAGCCGGCAAAACGGCTGGGCCAAATGGGCTGACATTTTTTGATGGAACCCATAGGCTGATAAAAATACGAATTTTTTTCTTCAAAAATTGATTTACAAGAATTCTACGGGCAACGCATGTATTTTTATGTTATAATATCTGAGTGAAAAAATAGCCACAACCTTTCACCAAAATATCAATTTTATACAAAAAATAACGCTCCATCTCATTTAAAGAATATTTAAACATTTCTATTTATGTTAAGTAGTGTAACCGCAAATACAAATCTGACATAATACCCCAAATATCCTTATTCTTTGTTCCTTCATTAGAAGATTAGTATTTTTCCTGGTTGGGTTCAGGAGCTTAGCGAAATCTCTCCGACAAGAACGGATTATTGAAGGAAAGAATAGTTTCTTTACAAAGAAACTGTAAGTAATTTCGTTCCTTGGAGAGAAGTTTTCACAGTTTTATAACTTTTAACAAAGGTTTAGCAAGATTTGAAAACTAAACAGATTAACATAAACACAAGGATTTCATACTAAAATGTCTTTAACTGTGTTTATGTATCGTATATGACAATATTTGTACAACATGTACGTTTAAGAAATTAAGTACATGTTTATTTGTAACGTATATTTTCGTATGACCGTCAATGGAAAAGTATTTACATTTTCATCAATAGAAATGAATTTATTTGTCTGTCATTGCGAAAGTAACGGGTGAGTACAGGGTGAGTAAAATACAGTAAATCTTTTTTAGCCGGTTTTAAGGTTTAGCTATAAATCAATAAAATGTAATTAACAAAATGATAAAATGTTTTTGGTACATAGAAATATTTTATACAAATCTACAAAAATCACACCAAATTTACAAAGGTGGCAAAATGGCACGTTCATGTGTCCCCTCCCAAAAGGGAGATTTTTTTAACCTTTTTATGCATTTATAAGACTTAATTTTAAGCACCACAAATAACCATGTACTAAAAATATTTTAGAATTTGGTTTATTTTTTAGCATAAAACATATTTTTATTAAAGTTTTTGTTCTACAGCACTAATCCCGTTTTTTACTTACCCTGTATTTATTTGTCCTTCATATCATTGGAAAAGTGTTTACGTACATTATTATTACATCAATAGATTTTAAGTGTTTTATTTATAACCTGACATAGTCTTTCTTACAGAACGGTTTTCCATCTCGGACAAAACAGGTTTGTTTTTCATCTAAGAGGGTGTTACACTCACAGCACTGAAACAATTCTCAGGGTCAATTCAAAAATGATAATGATAACTGATTTCGATAATAATGATAAAGTAATGTTTATTTTTGGAATACTTTTTTAGATGATAATAAAGTTGGAATACCTTCAAACAAGCTGCATGCCAAGATAGGTCTGGGGATACCCGGAGAATAAACTGATCTTGGATCAGACCTCCACAACCAACACAAGTTGCACACCAATCGTCTTGAATAAAAAATATTCAGATTTTTAAATATTTTAAAATTTCTGTGATGTTCAACCCCCTTTAATGATGACTTTTTAATTATTTAGATGTAGATTTTTAGAATTCTTCAATTTTTCTTTATTGTCTAATATGTAAACAAATAAGGTTTACTTATTATAAACATGTCATTTTCTGTTTGTTTTCTGTAATTAAACCAACACAAGGTTAGAACTCGTGCTCAGAAAGAATTAGAAGAAAATAATTTTGTTTGTGAACACAAACGCAAAGGGTAAAGACAGGAAAATGTCCAAATCCACCAAGTATAAAGCTTCTATTAAAGGAGGTGGGGGGGGAGGTGAAATAACGAGAGGAAAAACTTGATAGTTATCGACAAAAGAATATTTAACTATGGAAGCAAGTAAGAGAGAAAAAAAGAGAAGCTATGTATGAAACAAGCATACCATCATATCAAAAACCAATTAAGAATATAAAAATATCAAAAACCACTTTTAAATACCAAAATATAAAAAACATTTTAGAATACAACAATATTAAAAACTACTTGATCAAAAATCAAGAGTTGAGTACTCCAGTTCAGGAAGAAAAATTGAGCATTGCGATTTGAATGGTGCAACATAAATAATAAGAATACACAAGAGGTAGGAGAAAATAAGGTGATATAATGAAGCAAGGCGTGTTCATTAAAAAGGGGATAGATGTAGGAGAATAACAAAGAGATTTCAGATGGGTGACTACAGACAGTTTAGCTTGTAAAGAGAGCTGGAAGGTAGAACACTGTGGCTTGTGCAAAAAGGGGGAAAAGCTACGGCAAGGGTAGCAAAAGAGGGAAGCGCTTTGGCTAGAATTTGTCTATCATTTTACTTCATAGGGTTTCAGGTCGGTCATTTTTACTGTACAGTATACATTACAATACACAAGTACTTTTCACATGTACAGTGCACGGTAAGTGGCAATGTTTTAAGTGTTTATGAAATATACATACAGAGGGTTAGCCTCAAAGGATTTGACTGTACAGATTTTACCAAGTGTTATTTTTTATTATTTTTATCTCTTATCACTATTATTATTACGTGTGGGTTGGTAAAGCTTTCACATCTAATTAATGTGCTTAATTAGCACTAGCAAACTAAGGTTCTAGACTTTACCTAGAGAAGTTTCCGTCATTACTTCTAAAACCTATACTCTGGACGTCCAGAAGATAATTTCTTGTCAGCTGTCCATTTATCTGAAATAGATCAAACTAACCAAACTCGACTATTTCAGGCAATACTTCATTTTCGTCAAAAATCACTTTTCATTTAATTTTCTTCAGAATTTAGCAAGAAAATTATTAGGAACAATTCTATTAAAATGATTAGTTAGTTTTGAATAGGCTACTGAACAGGTACCAAGAGACTGGATAGTAAAAGGGGGAGGTAAGTGAGGAGGAGAGGAAGGGGGAGAAGGAAGGTTTGAGTTTGCCGCCTGTATCCCCCTGTTGTCTATGGGAACGCTGCTTCACTACTCTAAACTATGCCGCCAGTGAATACGGAGGCTAGGACCCATGCGCCGCCAGAACGGATCTGCTCCGGCCAGCATGAGTTAGGATTGGTCGGGACCCGACTCTCCAACCCTCGTCTTGGTTAGACAGAAGAAAGGGAACTAATTGATGCATTTAGGCATCAGACGGGAACATATAGTTGTATTCAAGGTCGAAATAGACTTAAACAACCCAAATGCAAACTAAAAATCAAGGATATAATTAAGCCTTAGAGATTTTATAATCTTGAAACCCACGACACAGGGTCGAAATTGATTCAAATTGTGTGAGTTAGCGAGAAAGAGATTATATTACAGTCTTTTCAATTTCGATATTTGAAGTATTATAATTTTTAACGTCAACTTTTAAATATTGTCTTTTACAGATCACAAATTGTGTACCAAAAAAGGTTGCAGGTCGGAAATATAAGCTTCAAGAGTGTGTTCTGCATACTTTTAATGTATTTCTTCCTCTAAATTTAAGCCTGTTGAAAAGTCTGAACTATTCTGAAGAAAAAAATATTTGTACCATTTATATGAAATTTAAAGTTACCTGCAAGATTTATTTCTGGGGAAGAAAGTTACAAACTGTGCTTATGTTCCAAACCTTACACTGAGTGTCAGGTTTGGGCACAAATATTATGATCAACGTTTTAGTAACTCTTCTTGTGCCGAGAACAAATATCAATTAAAGAAACTAAACATTTTATTACGCACGACGAGAACAACAAATAACACTAATTACTTCTTTTCTAAAACTTGAACTGCGAATGATCGTTCATTTTCAATTAAACCCCATACCATTTTCGAAACAATTCAAGGTTTTCCATCTTCGTAAATTTCACGAATTCGAAACTTGGACGCGTTCTGGAACAAAAACCAACTTTTGAAACGATCCATAATTTGAAAATAATTCAACAATTCAGAATAAAACGAACTTTCATATTTTACAGAATAACATTAATCAATGAAAATATGTTTATCTTCTAAAGTATTATAAAATTTGTTTGCACATAATACTTTTAAATACGGGAAGTACAGATGATTTCAAGTTTCCTCTATTTTCAATAAAAATTTCCCCGCATTTTTCTGTTCAATTTAATTGTAAGAACAACATAATATTGCTATTAGAAGTTTTTATTGCTTTTAGTCGTTATATTTTGAAATATTTATTTTCATTTTCATTGTTTCATTATCTAAATTCTACTGTATGCGAATTATGTAAATGCTTGAAAATATCATTGATTCCAATCTGTTAGATGTCTCAAAAACGCGACATGTTCCAAAACGTGTTTTGCGCCCAAAATTTGCATTTGCTTCAAAAAATATGTGACATGTTCTAAAACGAAATCAATAATCATCACAAATAGTAATTTATTTGATTATATAGGTTTAATTCTTAAATTTTTGTTATTAAAACGTAGCGTAGCTATAGCCTATTCTGAACTTTTCTTAATTAAAGTATGCAGACGTTTAGCGGCCAAATAGATTTAACTATGTTTTGTAAGATGTTCTTTCATCCTTTTTAATTCTTAACAAAGGAAATGAGTTTTTTGCCACAAACTCAAATTTTCTCATTCCTTTTATCTTTGCATCCCGAAGACTTTTGATACTTTAAACTATAAATTTTGTTAGATTAATAGTATAATATATAGGTTTATGCCATCATGTTGCCAAGATATAGAGATTATAAAATGTGACTTTGTGACAAAACTCAGTTTCTTTAGGAAATAAATTTTAAGAAAAATGTTATTAAGCGTTATTTATTGTTTGGATGTTGCTGAATACCTGTCACCAGTTTCACCAACTTTTTGTAAGAAAAGTAGTTTGAACAAAAAAGTGTTCAAATTGAAAAGAATTAGATGTATTTCAGGAAATCACCGCCTCGACAAAATCATTCAACCATCAAAACTCAAAAATATAATTTTATAAAAAGTTTAAAATTTTTATCGTCAAAAAAAACAGATGTTTGTGGTTGTTTGTATTCTGGACACATGCAGAACTAATCCTACTCAATCTAAAATCATTAAAAAATTCCGCCAAATTATATTCTCTATTGTTTGTGCTGATGTGAAGTTGATAAACCGAGAAGTAGACCTCTAACACAAAAATCTGGACAGTGAATGGAGAACTGGGAGATAAAGTGAACTTAGGACAACAGAGGGAAAATTAGGGGCTGTTGAGAACGTAGTACAACAGCTAGACAAAAACTTAGGACAACAGAGGGAGAATTAGGGGCTGTAGAGAACGTAGTGCAACAGCTAGAGGAAAAACTTAGGACAACAGAGGGAGAATTAGGGGCTGTAGAGAACGTAGTACAACAGCTAGACAAAAACTTAGGACAACAGAGGGAAAATTAGGGGCTGTAGAGAACGTAGTACAACAGCTAGAGGAAAAACTTAGGACAACAGAGGGAGAATAAAGGGATAGAGAACTTAGAGTACAACAGAGGGAGAAATTAGGACAATACGGGGAGAATTGGGATCTATGGAAAATGTAGGACAATAGTGGCAGAATAGGGATCTATGGAAAATGTAGGACAATAGTGCATGGTAGAAAAGGGATCTTAGGAAAACGTTGGACAATAGTGGTAGAATAGGGATCTATGAGAGGACTTTGAACAAATTAAGAAACTACTCGATTCATAGACGCTTTTTAGAACAAAGTCAGCAATTGATAAGACAAGGTAGAACATTTTTTAGAATCAAATCAGAATGTCAAAAGATCGAAGGACTAAATATCGGAGCCATGGTTTAAAATCCCCGAGACTAAAAGGTTTCGGAGCTTCCCTGGGAATTCTCCTTTTTACACTGCAAAGCTTTTACCCTAATGAAACCGATGATAAAGTGAAATTTTGTGGTAACAATACATGTGGAGGTGGGAGTGATGAGGGAATATTACCCTCCCTCTCCCTCTCTTGCAACCTCCTGCACTTAACATACACAGTACACACGTTCTAGTCTAAACACTTGAAAAGGAAGGTTTAATTAGCCGGGGAGTCATCATGACTTTCAATATCGTAGTATTTATCTGATTCCAACGCCCTGACACGTGACTAGAGACATGTGACTTATAGTCTATTTGAATTGAAATAGTTAGATAAAAAGATGAATATTGTTTTTAGGTTTTGGGCTAAAAATCGTATTTTGCATAAACGGAATTTTAAAACCGAGAGATTGGATTTTTGTTATGCGCTAGTTATGTAGATGTGTTGAAATTGAAAGTTTATAGTCAATTCAAACACAAATATGTAAAAATTACCAATCTAAATCCTAATTAATAATACACTTTTTAGTATTACTGACATTTTGTGAGTTTTTTTTACCTTGTTAGATCCTTTATATCGGTATATTATTTTTATTAACGCGGTTTGTAAGGTTTATTTGTTAGGTTGTAAATATATATATTTAATATAATTGACTTTATTCAGTTTAAATATACATTTTAGATGTTTAAATTATGTGTGTATATTTATAAGTATATATATATATATATATATATATATAAACATATACTTGACCGCCCACTGCACCTAGAGAAATCCTGGTTTTTGTCATCCAGTCTTTATCTTCATCTTGATTCCGTGCTTTGAGATGGAAAATCTGGATCACGCTATCCTCTCATTTAGATTAAACCGTTCTCACACCATCTCTTCTCTCTGATCTTCTAAAGATAGGAGCGGTTTTACACCAATCTTGGTTTTATTTCTCTCATCAAAGAAATTCAAATATAAGGAGGAGATTATCTGTGTTATTGTATATAAATCGTTATTTTAGAATAGTCAACTTTCATATTTCTGTACGTAACATACAAGTCTTAAAATAGTTTTATTTTTACTATACTTTACCCTGAAAATTTAGACAGGGTTCTAGTCCTGCTAATATTTTTTTTCTATTTTACCATCTGACTTCTATACTCACTATAACATCAAATCTAATGGAAATAAATGTAGTCAACTGAGAGGTTGAAAGTGCACTCACTCCTCCTAACTCAATTTGGGGATTTTTAAATTCGATAAATTTTACATTATGTAGGGTATGGGTTTAACAAGGAATAGATCAAAAAACGTTTTTTTAAGAATAGTAACAATATTAGCTTTTTATCTGAAAGTATATAACACATCACACTTTACAAAATTTATCAGATTTTACGTATTACTAGCGATTTTTTTAGGTTTATGAAAATGATCTTTTTAGAAGAACATTTTGTCATCCGGACTAAACCTTCCTTAAAAACTTTTTAGATTCCATAGAGTCGTCTCTTATGTCTCATCCTCTATGGTAATCCTGTATCTCATAAAAATCAGAGCGTCGAAATATATATGTATCTACGAATGTATGTTACATACGTACGTGTGTGATGTTACTTGGCCAAACCTTATCACGTAGAGAGCAAATATTATAATCTAAAAAATGGCACATTTGCCTACCTGTGTAACTTACGGTATAGGTGGTTTATCGTTATATATATATATATATAATAAATTTTGTCAAATATAGCTGTTTAGGCACAGGCGGTCGTCTTTTTAACCAAGGCTGAGGGTCTTAGATAACCTCTCAAACTGAAAGCCGGATATTTTAGCTAGTTTATATTTAAAAGTCCATAAGTATAGTCAATATCCATGTATATTGAATGTGAGAAGATCTTTTGTAAAGTTATATGGACTATGTGTATACTATAAAGGTAGACCAAGGTGATCAACTTACTTT